TGTTGTGACAGAGGGGCCAGTCAAGCACTTGTATTGTTTCTATCATTCCTCCCTTTCACTTTCCCCATGCTTTCCTTTCTCCTTGCACACCTGGCTTGCCTCACCTCCAGTCCCCAATCCTCTGCCTTTCTCCACACGTCCCTTTTCAGCAAGAAACTTGTGTAAAAGGTGGAGAACACATTTTCACAGGTCTTGTTGAACCATTAAATTCTTCCGTCTCTTCTAACACTTTATCTCTCCTTGCTGGCCTGATGAATTCCATTTCATAGTATTTACATGTTGAGAAATTGGATTTCCAGATTCCTGTGGGCTCAGGAAACAGACACAGTTCCTCACTATTATTACTCCCCAGAACAAGAATGGGCTTGGCTCCTGGCTTTTTTCACCAAGCAGGGAGCTAATTAACAACTGATGACTTTCTGGGGTTGATTTAAGCTGCCATAGTCGAACACAAATCTCTTCTATGTCTGATCCAGGCATGGAAGGCTCCAGGACGTATGTGCAGGGTACCATGCTCAAATTTAAAGGAAGGAAGGCAGGGCCTAGTGAGAAGCTGACTCAGTGAATGATGAGGAAAAAATAATATCATGGGGAAAGAAGAACTGGGATAGAGAAGGCTGAAAAGAGGGTGAAATGAGAACTTTATCACTCTGGAATGCTGTGGCACCATTCAGATCCGTTCTCAAATGTTCTACTGAAGAACTGAGAAAAGTGATTAAGGTTGAAGGAAAAAGAGGAAGGTCAGTGTAACTATTTATTAAACAACAGTTAAAAATAATCTGAAATTATCTAACACGATATACAAGTCTAGCTACTTAAACATTTTCTATTACCTTTGTTTTACTGTATAATCCAGTTTAGAATGAATATGTCCACTCCAGTCATTGTTGTAACATTTAGTGTAAGAAAAATGTCCATATTAAAAATGATGAAAGCAAAAACATTACAGCTCAGCCGACAATAATTAGGAAAGTGATACATGATTATTTTAACATAGACACAATCCTTATAGCTCTCTTGTGAGTTCTTTGCCATTCTTATATTGCCTATTTTTCCAATAACAGATAAAATCACTTGTGTGACAGGCAAGGAACTGAATACAAGTGTCTTCCCTCAGGCAGTTTACCTGCTTTTTGGTCATCTCAAATGGAAAAGTTTCCATTTCCTCAGAAAGTAGTAGATTAAATAATATGCATTCCTGTTTGGTTGCAGGGTAGGGATTGTTGTAATGAATCATTTGGGGGGACGGGACTAGTGGTATTGACTAAGTTGGTCTCCTCATTGTTTCCTCACTTCTATGTACAAGCACCCATTTTGGTTTTTTGAATCGACAATGCCATAGAAACTTTTGCCCTGTTCAGACAACCAGCTGAGGCTTTCTCCAAGAGTTGGGTGATCTCTGGTAGCATTCTTCCCCAGCCAAGATGGGAGAAAATGATCTCATGACATCCTTTGTTCTGGCCATCAGTAATTAGGACGAAGTGTTGGCAAACATTCAGCGAACCCAAGGCCTATACATCCTTGTCAGCCTTGTGCAATAGAAGTTCAAACTCCAGTGGTTCTCATAAGGAGAGTGTAGACAGTATATTTGAATATCTAGTCTGTAGCTTGTTTCTCACCCAGGTAATTATAGGAAGACAATTTAAAGGAAGAACACATAGCAGGATGATGCAGTGACTTTTTCTTCCTTGTGAAATGTCAAAGCGTGGGTTGGATAATGCAGCCCAGTGAAGCTATGGCAGATAAATAGTCATATGCTATAAATAAATATTTTGTTTTCATTCACTTTGTGCTCATGGGCTCCCTTTAAAAGGGAGTGGGGGGGCTGAATGGAAAACAAAATAAATTTATAAAAGTGTTTTTATTTTAAAAAAATAAAATAAAAATATATTTTATTCTGTTAACTTCTATTTTGTATCTTTCAAATTAAAAAAAGGAAATTGGATTGCAGCAATGTTGGTGTGAATGATCCTATATTGTTTTAAATATGCTTCCATCGTTCATTATATTCATTCAGCTGTGTCACGTTGAACTCATTTCTGATGTTATACTTTATGGTAATAACATTGCAACAGATTGAAAAATACCATTACCAAAACTAATTTGCTTTATTTTGGAAACTCATATATGTCGATTGTTTATCCAGTTTGAATCAGTTCTTTCTTTGCCCATAACGCTACATTAAATCACTTTTACATATGTGATGATGTTTTCAAGATTGGTAGATATGAAATCAATATATCACAATCTGATTTTTTTCCCCCAGGAACAATCTGGATATTTATATCTATATGTGTACCAAAATAACAAATAGTTTTTAAAATGTGTCAAAATCAACACATTTGTGCTTCTTCAGCAAGAAAGAATGCAAAACAGAGGCAATTGGAATGCAATTTATTTTAATTTATCTTTCACTGTAAAGATTTCAGTGTTGCCTTGGTTGTATTGAAAAAAAAAATGATTTATCATCTGTGATACTTGTTCAGTATTTTAGCACTGTTTTCTGTAGCTCAACTGAACTTCAGTTAAACAAAATGGTTCCATGATAAGAAGTGGCAAACTGACCTTACAATATGTAAGTGCACATATAGCAGACGGGACATGCCATTTTTATCACCAGCTTTGCTCAGGTATCTGCACCTATGTCATATATTAATCTGAAGTGTCCATTAGTTCTTATGAGCAGCTTGGGCCTTTCAGCAGATAACAGGAGATATACACTGCTCAAAAAAAATAAAGGGAACACAAAAATAAGACATCCTAGATCTGAATGAATGAAATATTCTTATTAAATACTTTGTTCATTACATAGTTGAATGTGCTGACAACAAAATCACACAAAAATTATCAATGGAAATCAAATTTAGCAACCCATGGAGGTCTGGATTTGGAGTTACACTCGAAATTAAAGTGGAAAAAAACACTACAGGCTGATCCAACTTTGATGTAATGTCCTTAAAACAAGTCAAAATGAGGCTCAGTAGTGTGTGTGGCCTCCACGTGCCTGTATGACCTCCCTACAATGCCTGGACATGCTCCTGATAAGGTGACGGATGGTCTCCTGAGGGATCTCTTCCCACACCTGGACTAAAGCATCCCCCAAATCCTGGACAGTCTGTGGTGCAATGTGGCATTGGTGGTTGGAGCAAGACATGATGTCCCAGATGTGTTCAATTGGATTCGGGTCTGGGGAACGGGCGGGCCAGTCCATAGCATCAATGCCTTCATCTTGCAGGAACGACACACTCCAGCCATATGAGGTCTAGCATTGTCGTGCATTAGGAGGAACCCAGGGCCAACCATACCAGCATATGGTTTCACAAGGGGTCTGAGGATCTCATCTCGGTACCTAATGGCAGTCAGGCTACCTCTGGTGAGCACATGGAGGGCTGTGCAGCCCCCTAAAGAAATGCCACCCCACACCATTATTGACCCACTGCCAAACCGGTCATTCTGGAGGATGTTGCAGGCAGCAGAACATTCACAGCGTCTCCAGACCCTGCCACGTCTGTCACATGTGCTCAGTGTGAACTTGCTTTCATCTGTGAAGAGCACAGGGCGCCAGTGGAGAATTTGCCAGTCTTGGTATTCTCCGGCAAATGCCAAACGTCCTACACCTGTGGATGTTGGGCCCTCATACCACCCTCATGGAGTCTGTTTCTGACTGTTTGAGCATCCACATGCACATTTGTGGCCCGCTGGATGTCATTTTGCAGGGCTCTGGCAGTGCTCCTCCTGTCCCTTGTTACACAAAGACGGAGGTAGTGGTCCTGATGCTGGGTTGTTGCCCTCCTACGGCCTCCTCCACGTCTCCTGATGTACTGGTCTGTCTCCTGGTAGCGCCTCCATGCTCTGGACACTATGCTCACAGACACAGCAAACTTTCTTGCCACAGCTCGCATTGATGTGCCGTCCTGGATGAGCTGAACTACCTGAGCCACTTGTGTGGGTTGTAGATTCCGTCTCATGCTACCACTAGAGTGAAAGAACTGCCAGCATTCAAAAAAAACCAAACCATCAGCCAGAAAGCATAGGAACTGAGAAGTGGTCTGTGGTCACCACCTGCAGACCCACTCCTTTATTGGGGATGTCTTGCTACCTGCCTATGCTTTCCACCTGTTGTCTATTCCCTTTGCACAACAGCATGTGAAATTGATTGTCAATCAGTATTGCTACCTAAGTGGACAGTTTGATTTCACAGAAGTGTGATTGACTTAGAGTTATATTGTGTTGTTTAAGTGTTCCCTTTATTTTTTTGAGCAGTGTATATCAGGGAGAGCTGAATGTAAATCCAAACCATTAACTGAGACATAACTGGTGTGTTTTATAAAGGGATTGTGACTGACAAGAGTAACAGAATGGACCATTTACTAATGGCTATAACACAAATTGATCCAGATTGAGGCCAACAGTGTTTTTAAAAGTAGTGAAGGCATTGGGCGAAGGGGGAAATCTATCCTTGTGTCTAGTTGTTTTGGCATGCAATGCCGTATAGCAGCGTCCTGAGGGGATCAGTTGAAACAGATTATGTCCAGTTTGTGAGGAGTCTGTAGATATTTTCTCAGCCTTTTTTCTGATTCATTCAGTATACAGATCCTCAATGGAAGGCAGGCTGGTTACGGTTGTTTTTTCTGCAGTCCTAATTATCCATTGAAATCTGTACCTGTCCTGTTTGGTTGCTGTGACAAACTAGACAGTTATTGAGGTACAAATGACAGAGTCAAGAATTCCCCTGAGTTGACGCAGGAAGAACATTCCTTGTTGTGCATTTTTCCTGATGGTTCTAATATTAGGTATTCATTTCAAGTCCTCGGAGATAATAGAACCAAATGTGAAGGACTCTACTGTTGATACTGTGTTGCCTAAAATTGTAAAAAGTGGTAGGTCATCCTTAAGTTTGAAATCTGCTTATCCCTGAAAAGTATCACAGTTGCATGCCTAACTTCCATTCAGAATAAGTATTGTTTTCTTTAAAATGCCTTGTGGGATTTTATTTGCAGAAAACAAGTCTATGCAGCTCCACTGAAGGTAGCACAATTATTTTCGCATCTGTGGGAGACAAAGAATCTGATACCGCAGCAAAAGGCCCACCACAACCAAAACCTTGTTTTACTGATGGTATGTATCAAAGGGACCAAATTTATTGTGGTGATGATGTGTATTCATGGTGAATTTATTCTGTGAAAATTGCAAATAATTGCCTTTTTCAGTCCTTGTTTTCAGCCAAAATGTACTTTGTTAATCTGTATATGATACCACCAGGAACTAATTATCTTCTCACTGCTGTGTACTTTGATTTATCTTTTCTGGCTAGTTACTGAAAGGTTATGTGTCAGTCATTTATTATGGAATCAATTTCTTAGCCTCTGAAGAAAAAAAAAAGCAAGCTTATGAAAGATTCGGACTCCAGGCCCACTTGTGATGTGACTGACAGTAACTTTGGGAATTAGAAAATGAGAATTAAGTTGTAGATGGTTTTTTCGCTTGCCAGGATATGGATAGTAAATTTGCTATTTACAGATTGCAAAGGAAGAAGGTTCCTGTTGGTTCATTTTCTTCATGTGATTAAGCAGAATGCAAAAAAAGGAAGAAAACAACAACCTAGTAGTAGTAGTAGTTGTAGTAGTAGTAGTAGTAGTAGTAGTAGTAGTAGTAGTAGTAGTAGTAGCAATGACAGTGTAAGTGCACAGGCATCTTTCTAGAAGCTAAAAGCGCAATTGTCAAGAGTGGGGCTTAAATTGCTTAATGCAGTTTTAAGAAGCTGTAATAATGAATATAGCTGCTGAAAAGTCAAGCCTTTTATTTATAACCACAAAGCTTACACCTTATATCTTACTGTGTATATCTTTTTCCCTTCCTTACATAGTAATGAACTTTTTCTTGCTCATTTCTTAACTGTGGACACAGAGGGCACCTGTACCATGATTTGGTAACAGTCCTGTCTGGCCTTGGGCTTCTGGCCTTGCCAACCTCAGTCACTGTTATTTTGGAAAATACATGCCGTTTATCCCTTCATAATTTGCAATCAATAATGCAGTTGGAGTATTGAAAAAATGCTATATGCCTGCAAATGGAAAAGTAAAACATATTCCAGACAACAAAGCAAACAAGTAGACTTTTTAATCATACACACACACACACACACACACACACACACACACAGAGAGTGACCATTTGAACAGATTATTTCCCTGTGGATTCTTAAAGATTCCCCAGATCTTTAGGAGGAATCCCTCCCAGATTAGAAGAAACCTGAGTGAGCCAACCTTTCTAGCTCTCCAAATTGAATTCTGTGTATGTTGACGATATATGTTGACCATGTATGTTGACAATCATGCATGCTGAATTTAGTACTAGTGATTTATAAAATTTAACTGGATATGTGAATCTGAGATAAATGAGTCTAATGCTGATTTAAAGATGAACAGGAGAAAATTACTTTCATCATAATCTTCTTCCCTCAAAGAGGAGCCAAGTTATCAAGGGGATTATATTGTTTCTTTCATCTTTTTATTCATACATTGAGTGCTGACAAGCTGTATCCATGACTCTGGATGTAAAATATGTAAGAAAAGACTCCAGAAATTAATGAGCAGAAATAATGTAGCAACAAATAAATCCCATTGGCATCTTTGGCTCCTATTTGTACCTAATGAAAATTTATTCCAAACCATTGTGGTTCAGATAAAACATCTGCAGACATGTTCCTTTGATCAAAGTGATGAAACTAACACTCTACCGTGGTGAAACCAGCTTTGCCCTTTTACAGTGTGTATATGCAGCTGGAGAACGCATATACGTAAAGGGCAGAGCTTGTGTCATCACAATAGGACTCTGTTTCAACATTTGGCACACATGCTCGGGACGTTTCGGGGTTAAGAACAGTGTAGAAGGTGGCCCAGGAACCTGCAGAGGTAGTGGAATCTGAAATATTATTTCCTTCCCTTCTTTTTGCTAAGACTTTTGTTGAATTGGCATTTTGTCAATTAATAGAAACTCACCCTTTCTATGTGCAAAATCCAGTTCTGGAAACAAATTGCAGGGTTTGCTATAAAGAGATGGTGTTATCATAGATAATGGTTCTTTCTTTTAGGGCTGTTAAGTTTGTTTAATGCAAATATTCTGGTTTCTAGGCTGTGTACAGAAATTCAGATGTTGTCAGATCAATATAGAGTCTGGGAAAGGCAAATGCTGGTGGAACCTTCGCAAAACTTGCTTTAAGATAGTGGAACACAATTGGTTTGAAACCTTCATTGTCTTCATGATTCTTCTAAGCAGTGGTGCTTTGGTAAGTTGAATGTATTCCATATCCAACTGTAAACAAAACGATCATAGGATAATCAAGTTACTTGGGATAACTGTTGCTTGTGCTACAACAGGATTCCACATTACTTCACATGCAAGTTCTGTTGCTTGTGAATTAAATAAGTGGACTAATTGGAGGGCAACCTTGATATTTATACAAGTGAAATTGAGTACATGACCATCAAGGAGGAAAACGTTTATGGTGAAACCCTGGTGATGGGGAAAACTTGTCTGGTATTATCAGTGGTCACTTCAGCATCAAATGGAAGCTTTAATTTATATAATGTGGAAACATATGAAATCACATGATAGCTATCATGTTTCCAGATGTTCTCTTGTAGCTTTATTATTTCTCATTTATTTTTGCTTTGCTTCATTTAATAATCCAAATAATTATTTGTTAATAATAGTTGGCTGAGGTTAACTGTTTTGGCCACAATTTTCTATCTTCTCTGTAGTATCTACATAAGCTTTCAAAATTTCTCTAAGTCTCTAAGCTCCTAGTTTTCTGTCATGAAGTTGTTGAATAGATTATAAAGGATATGATAGAACCAGCCTCAATTCAAACAGATTCTATCTAAGCTCATTAAAATACCAATAAATATCGGAAACATTGATAAATTCAAGGGATCTGGCTCTTAACACTGTTCAATTCGGAGAATATGAAATGGTTGTTAAAGTTCTGTGCTGTGGTACATTGAACATAAAATGTCGGTTATGATTAGTTTGACATTTATGAGGATTTTGCAGAGTTTCATATACTATGAGCTCAAAATCTACATAACCACCAGATGGCAATGAAGAGCTTCAGAAAACTTTCTTTACCCATTGTTTCCCATCTCTTTGGATGTCTGCAGCATGTATATGAAAGCCATTCATACAAATGTCGTCTGTTAAGTGCACATGATGGGCTGATCCAGGTATAGCTCATTAATAAGCTTTACCTGGGGTGCCAAACCAAGAGTCCTTAAGACAACAGCTCTAGCTCTTTGCTACTTGGCAGGCGAATATGTCTGCCCAATCTTGTATAAATCAGCACACACTGGGAAAATAGAGGTGGCTCTGAATGAAGCTAGCATAATTATTACCAGATGTCTTAAACTTACCCCTTTTGATAAGAGCTACAACTTAGCCGGCATTGCCCTGCCTGCTGTTCCACACTGATTTTTTTTAAAAAAATAGAAATAATGTGCAAAAGGAGCTTCTTTCTCATTGAACGTTAAGATAGGCAGAGAAGAATGAGAGGAACGAGTTATTACATTAGAGGAGGTGAGGTAGAAGAAAAAGACTAAGTTGGATAGACAGATAGAGAAAGTAAATTGGAACAAATGTGGGAAGGCCCCAAAGCAACTGGGGCAAATAGATTTGTCCTGATGACTCTGAAATACAGGAAGTATTTTATAATGGGGCAAATAAGTGTGGTGGTTCATAAGTAGGGCCTACAACATAGTACTAAAACGTTGTGTTGTTTAACAAAACAGCAGAAAGAATCCTGGCGGAATAACAAAACACAACTATCCAAAATATAATTGAGATAGAAATCAATGCAAAACTAATCTTTGAAATATGGAGTACAATATGGGTGGGGGGTATTTTCTTTTCTATTTTTTTCTTTCCTTCCTTCCTTTCCTTCTCTTTTTTTCCCCTTTTCCGTTTTTAATCCTTTACCTTCATGACCTTACTTGTTGTAGTATTTTAATCCATAGGCTTTCGAAGACATATACATTGAACAGCGCAAGACTATCAAGACTGTACTGGAATACGCAGACAAGGTCTTCACTTACATCTTTATTTTAGAAATGCTTCTGAAGTGGGTGGCTTATGGTTTTCAAGCCTATTTCACCAACGCCTGGTGCTGGCTGGATTTCATGATTGTAGACGTAAGTCTTGATTCCATGTACTTACCTTAATGCCTTAGTCTGAAACTAATAATTCAGCATGTGATTGTGTTTGACACCAGAGCAATCACAATGGCATCCATCGGTTGCCATAATGTAAACTTTTTAAACAATGTTAATAGTTTTATTTTAAAAGAGAACTTCTTTAAAAAATTGTCAGATTGTCACATTTGGCACGTGTGTTGTATTCTCACATAGTGTCTCCTAATATTTTCTGTCTTGGGGAGTGGGGAATGCTTTGAATCAATGTTGGCACCTGGTGATTGCCTGAATAAATCCCTGCAGATTTTTTTCACCAGATTTTATTTATTTTTTATTTATTGATTTGATTTGTCAATCACTTACAAGGTAATAGGAGTGGAGAACTCTTCTTGTGAAGTATTTCTGGACTTTCTCAACTGTGCTAATATCAGATACGTAATGTGAGTTCCAGACTGATGAGCTGTATTCAAGTATTGGTCTAGCAAATGTTTTGTATGCTCCAGTTAGTAGTGTGATATTACCAGAGAAAAAGCTACGTAGGATTAGGTTAACAACTCTTAATGCCTTTTTGGCTATGTAGTTACAATGGGCTCTAACACTTAGATCATTAGAGATGAGTATTCCAAGGTCCTTTACAGAGCTTGGATCATCAACAAGGTCTTGACTATTCAGTCTGTATTTTATTTTCTGATTTTTTTTGCCAATATGTAAGACAGAGCATTTATTTGTTGAGATTTGAAGTTGCCATTTGTTTGACCATTCTGATACATAGTCGAGATCTTTTTGCAGGGGAGCAATATTGTCTGTGGTATTGAACAGCTTTACATCATCAGCGAAGAGAATGCAGTTGCTCTTAATAGGATCTCAGGGGTCATTTATGTAGAGTATGAAGAGAGCTGGTCCTAGAACACTGCCTTGGGGGACACCACTATTGACAGGTACAGAATTTGATAGGACACTCCCAATTTTGACCATTTGTTGTCTGTTTGACAGGAATGCTTCTATCCAGTTATGCAGTTGTCCAGAGATACCATAAGATTTTAGTTTTAGGAGTAGTTTGTCGTGTACCACTGAATCAAAGGCTTTACAGAAGTCTATGTAGATTGCGTCTATTGCTTTGCCCTGATTGAGTTGTGTAGTCCATATGTTTTTGCAGTGTAAGAGCTGCAGATTACAGGACAGTTTTTTTCTGAAACCAAATTGTTTATTGGAGAGTAGGTTGTTTGTCTCTAAGTCAAGGATAATGGATTGGTTAATATTTGATTCCATGACGTTACAGGTGACGCAGCATAAGGAGATTGGTCTGTAATTTTCAACTAGGCTGGGGTCTCCCTTTTTGAAGATGGGGATGACCGTGGCTTGTGACCATAGGTTAGGCAAGGAGCTGGTCCTGAAAGATTTTTCAAAGATTATGCTTAGAGGTTCTGCCATGGCAGGGGATAGCTTTTTAAAGAAGCAGGCACATATTCTGTCCGATCCAATAGATAGAGATGGTTTTAGATTGCATAGTGCTTTTTCAACATTGTCTTCTGTAAAATCGATATGTATTCGATCATTGTAGTTTTCTGTGGTTCAGCTAGGAAATACTGGGCATGATCCATTGCCATTTACAAATACTGAGCCAAAGAATGTGTTAAAGAGGTTGGCTTTAATAGTGTCATCATTGCAGTCTTTACCATTAGGTCCTTTCAGGGGTGGGATGGACCTTGAGTCTTTTAGTTTGTTGTTTACAAAATTGTAAAAAGTGCAGGTGGAATTGGTGCATAGAAGGTTTTCCTCTTGTTTAATGTGATAATTGGTGCATTCAGTCTTTATCTGGTGGCATAAATTTTTGTATCGGCTTTTGAAATTGGCAACGTGACCAGATTTGTTTTTCCGCCAGAGTGATGTCTTTTTGGATTGAAGTTTCCTTAATGTTATGGGTAATCTGGGTTTTTTTTGTTTGTTTGTTTTGGGAGTTGTTGTTGGTACATATAGTTTGATGAATCTTTTGACTTCAAGTAAAAATATGTTGTATTGCATCCAGTGAATAGAGATTGCCAATCAAGGGATGAGAGATCATTGTCTATAAGATCATAGTTGCCTTTTTTTGAAGTTATAATTGGGGATTACATCATTGTGATGATTTTTGTGTGGGCGGTATGTTGAGACAAAAGTCAATCATATTGTGGTCACTGTTGGAAAAGGGTTCTTTAGTTTGTATTCTGTAAATTAAATTCAAACTATTGCAGAAGATGAGATTGAGGCAGTTGTTAAGTCTAGTATTGTTGGTTACTAGTTGTTCCAGTCCCAGATTTGTTACAGCATTGTAGAAGGCTGCATGTATGGGTTCAGTTGTACATTCGTTTAGGGTTCAGTTAATATGAGGTAGATTGAAGTCACCAAGAAAGATAAAAGCGTGTGGGCAGGATGTTAGTAGTGAATTTAGCTTGTTTACATGTTCGATGTCATAATCAGGTGTTCTGTAACATAGTAAGAATCGAAATGTGATATTTAAGGATAGTTCACAGACGATGGTCTCAGGAAGAGCAAGCTCCTGGGTAACTTGGATGTTTTTTAGATTAAGGACTTTTTATAGAAGATAACAACACTACCTCCTCTACGAATTTCACGATCTGATCGGTAAAAATCTCTTACTGTGGTAATGGAGTCAGGAAGAGATGCGTTGAGCCATGTTTCACAGACAAATATGATGTCGAATTTAGCCATATTTAGGAAGTAGTTTTGCCCTTGCATCTTCCCCAGGGCTGAGAGAGAACGAGTTATCTTAAATTTGGGTGTCATTGTTAATTTTATTATTATTGATTTTTTGTTTTTGATTTTGTATATAAAGATTTCATACTGCCTGGCAACTGGAAATAAAGGTGACTCTTTAGAGCAAGAGTTCTCAAACTTGGCAGCTTTAAGACTTCAACTCTCAGAAATCCTGAGCTAACATGACTGGAGGAGGAATTCTGGGAGTTGAAGTCCACAAGTCTTAAAGCTGTCAAGTTTGAAGACCCCTGATTTAGAGATAAAGATTTCCCTGTCCAGTCATATCTGACTTTAGGGCGCAGTGCTCATCTCTGTGTCTTGGCCAAGGGTGTTCTGACCAAGGCTTCCTGAGATAGTAACAATCACCCACTGTTCCCAAAAACTTTTTATTTTATTTCAACGGCTGTGAATTATATGCATTCACAGCCCGTAATCTGCCAGTCTTTCAGGATAAGGCTGATAAGCACCCATCTTCATCTTGAAATGCTGCCAATGACTAAATTGCCAATTAGCTGTACAAGGCCAAATGGAGCACAAAGTCAATACGGAGCTTCAGATTTTAGACTGACCAGAATGAACAAAGTTGCTTCCTGCAAAGGCTCATGTCCTTTTGCTCCTCCTTTATGCCTTATGGGAGGGGCCAATCATCTCCAAGCCTTACTCCCAAGTCTCCCCTTTTGTCTTAACTGTTCTTGCCTTCTGGCAGTTCTGTGCAAGTGCACATTGGGAACAGGCTCCCCCTGTTCCTCTGCCTCGCTGATGTCAGATTCTGAAGGATCTGGAGTCAGCACATAACTCTCAGTGGCCCTGGCCCCATCTCTTTGTCGGATGCAGATCTCTTGTCCAAGTCCTCCCCAGACTCCAGAACTGGCCCATGTTCCTCCCCACTGTCTGACTCTGCTGCCAGCTCCGCAGGCCACCAGCGGACCACAACAAAGGGAGCCAGCATTGTCCACAGACATTTTCCATGGTCACGTGGCCAACATGGCTTTATGCCAAAGGCACACATTACAATTAATGTGTAAAAACAGACTGGTCTAGAACAGTTAATGCAGTAAGTTTGCTTAAAAAGAATACAGTTCTATTGGTATGCTTCCTTGAATTCTACCAGAGTGAAAAGCAGACTAAATATAGGTTAAATATCTAAACCATTCAGTCCAGACACTTTAATCTGCTAATCCATCTGATCATTTAAGTCTTTTTTGTTAATTATGTTTTTAAACAGGATACCGTTTTTCCCCAAGCAATTCTTCTGTGACATGATTTTGATATGCTAGTGCTTTTTGTTTTTGAACAGGTTTCCTTAGTCAGTTTAATTGCCAACGCCTTGAACTATTCTGAACTTGGTCCTATTAAATCACTTCGCACCCTGAGAGCTTTGAGACCTTTAAGGGCCCTATCCCGCTTTGAAGGAATGAGGGTAAGTAAGACGACAATTATTGGTAACGAGCTGTTCCAGGAATGCTGACTCATTGGGGATTTCTGGAGAATATTTGTTGGGTGAAGTTATCTGCTGTTTGGCTTTTCCACGATTAGAAACATTCCCTGTAACAAGGATAAAGATTTGCAGAGAAGATTAACATAGCCACAGTCGTTCTGGCAAATAGTTTTTACAGCCAAATGCATTGTTCTTTTAATGCTATCCTTAGAACCATTTGGGAGACACATTATGCAAAATGGCAACATAAGGCGACGTAAATTAATCCTAGAACAGATTGCGTCTCTTTGTTTATTGCCAAACAAGCTGTAATTTAAAAAAGAAAAGAAAAAAAGCATATAAAAATGAGTACATATTTATGACAGTTGCAGTGTCCCAGAGTCATGTAGATCTCCTTTTGCAACCTTCTGACAAGCAAAGTCAACAGGGAAACCAGAATCCCTTAACAACCATGTGACTAATTTAACAATTGCAGTGATTCACTTAACAAATGCGGCAAGAAAAGTCATAAAATGGGGCAAAATTCACTTAACAAATTTCTCATCTAGCAACATAAATTCTGGGCTCAATTGTGGACTACCTGTATCAGGCAGTCTTTAGTCAGGCTGCATAGAGCTTTAAATCTAACAACCAGCACGCTGAGCTGCCTGTGACAGCGTATAGGGAAGCATCGCAACAACTGTGAATAAAAATTATTCTGCAAATTGGCGGCCACATTTAGAACCTGCTGTAGCTTCCTACCTATCTTTGAAGGCACCTCCTTTCTTTTCAGTAGTTGAACTATGTGAAAAGGGTGTGAATAACATCACGGAGTCTTTCTGGTTGATTCATTTTTATAACTAGAAATAAGATGAAGATGGTTCCTTTGATTGTATGTATGTATGTATGTATGTATGTATGGTATTCAGCTTTGTTCAGGTATTTTCCCACGTCATTATAGTTGTGCTTTTAAAGTTGTAGCAATGTTTCGGCAGAATCTCATCTGCCATCCTCAGGCTTCTGTATTGTGTTCGTCTGTGAGTCAGACTTTTACAGTTGTTTTTAAACCACTGTAAAAGTCTGACTCACAAACACAATACAGAAGCCTGATGATGGCAGATGAGATTCTGCCGAAATGTTGCTACAACTTTAAAAGCACAACTACAATGACATGGGAAAATGCCCGAACAAAGCTGAATGCTATACATACATACATACATACATACATACATACATACATACATACTTGTTTTCTGAGGTTTTTGCGGGTATTTGCATGTGGATCTTTGGTTATTCAGGTTATTCGGTCTAGATACTTCCAATTTTACGCGGGAGAAAACCCGAATAACCAAAGATCCACATATATATATATATCCTTAAGTTTTCACAGGTATTTATATGTATGGTATTCAGCTTTGTTTGGGTATTTTCCCACATCATTATAGTTGTGCTCTTAAAGTTGTGGCAACATTTTGGCAGAATCTCATCTGCCATCATCAGGCTTCTGTATTGTCAATGCAATACAGAAAATACAATACAGAAGCCTGATGATGGCAGATGAGATTCTGCCAAAACGTTGCTACAACTTTAAAAGCACAACTATAATGACGTGGGAAAATACCCGAACAAAGCTGAATACCATACACACACACACATACATGCATATGTATGTATGTATGTATGTATGTATGTATGTATACTGTGGGTTGATATCCAGATATTGTAATATTTGTTCAATTGGTATCCTTATGTTAATAAAACAGCTGGATTGAGTTGAAAGGGCATTGTATTGCAAATTAAAGTGACACTGTTACTGATATTTTGTTTGTGCAAAAATCAATTTGCCCATCCAAAAAATATCCAAGACTGAATCAGAACAATGACTTTATTAGGTCAGTTCAAAAAGCTACACAAATGTGCAAAAAAACATCAGAAAATCTTTAAGCATAACATTGCTTACTTACATTTATTTCCTCATTTTCTGAGCATTTTAAGATTCCATTGTTTACCAAGTCTTAGTCTGGAAAACATTAATGCCAGTTTTTCTTCTTATTCTATAGTCATTGATTTATCTGTTTCATTTGCATCCCATCCCATCCTTCTGACTTCGGCTCATGTTCATTTTCCTTTCTGGTTTGTCTTCATAAGTACTATATTACTATACCTGCCCTTCATCACATCTTGATTATCTTGTTCAGAAGATGATGTTTCTCTTTTTAAGCTAAAATCATAGGTTCCTGGTACAAGCCATAGTAACAAAAAAAATTATAAATCCTTCCTCACAGTGCAAATCCCACCATTCCTTCTGTGTGAATCAGGATATCAGGATGAGTATTTCATTATTCCACCATTGCTTCTTTGCCCTATCAATGCATTTAGCTCAGTTGAATTCCTCCTCCACTGCAAAACTTGCATACTTTCTTGACAAATCAGTCCAAAGATGTAGAATAAAACAGAACAGAATAGAATAGAATAAAAAAGAATTCTTTATTGGCCAACTGTGATTGGACACACAAGGAATTTGCCTTTAGTGCATAAGCTCTCAGTGTACATAAGAAATACTTTAGTGATAGTCATAGGATACTAAATAAGCAATCAAATCATACTATGAAACTAAATAAAACAATATAAATCGTACAGATGCAAGCCGCACGGTTGTAATCCTAAATAGAAACAGGTGGATAATAGGAAGGATGAGAAGAATAATAGTAATACAGTCTTAGTAGTTTGACAATATTGTGGGAGTTAGCTGTTTAGCAGAGTGATGGCGTGCAGGGAAAAACTGTCCTTGTGTCTTACTTGTTCTGATGTGCGACGCTCTATAATGTTTTGAGGGTAGAAGTTGAAACAATTTATGTCCAGGACGTGAGGAGTCTGTAGAATCCCTCTACAGAAGTTTGTAGAAATAGAATCATTATAAATTGTCAATCCCTGAAATTCCAGAGATTCTTTTTAAAAATAAAAAAAATCTACCCTATAAACCAATTATGGTAACATAATATTTAAGATATTTCTGTTCTTTATTCCTGAGATCTCCTTTCATGCTACTGACAGAGAACAGTAATTCTTGCTAGCTGCTGCATTTTGGTGGGCCACATCAGCATGTTTGTTATGTGAATGTTGAATTGGAGAATTGCCTTATCAGTTTTATATATTTATACTTCAGACAATTTCTGTTTCATTGCTCTTTTTCTTGTTACCTGTTTTGCAAGCCTAAGATAATATGTTCCACTTTGTATTGGGATAAATGTATTTAATCTTTCAGGTGCCAGAAGACTATGGAATGTAGACCTACAACCTTTTACACAATTTTTGTTCCCCTCACTCCAGGTGGTGGTGAATGCCCTGGTAGGAGCCATACCCTCGATTATGAATGTGCTTCTAGTTTGTCTTATATTCTGGCTAATTTTCAGCATCATGGGTGTAAATCTGTTTTCTGGTACATTCTTTGAATGTGTTAACAAAACAGATGGAGTAAGGATTTCACATTCAATCGTTCCATTTAAAAATGTCTGTGAGACTTTAGACTATGCCAGATGGAGAAATGTTAAAGTCAACTTTGACAACGTTGGAGCTGGCTATCTCTCTCTTCTTCAAGTTGTAAGTAACTATCACTATGATACTAGTAATAACTTTCCATCTATCCTATGTAGTCCATGGTTTCATAGGAAAAATGGAAACAAGTGAAGCCATTAGCCAAATCCTATCAATTCACATCCCTATTTTCAAGCAAGCAATATTTTAGCTTATAGGAACAACATATCTACAGAGATTTTTTGGGAAGAATTCTTGCTGTATCTTCACCATTTTTGTCAAATAAAAGCCATTGGACTGACCCAGATCAGTACATTCAGTGACTTGTGTAGAATAGCCATGACTCACCGTTTCAGTTCTTCTGTTCTAACATATTTATGCTTTGCTTCAGCGTCATTTTTCTTTAAGAAGGAAACATGTGAAATTGAGTACCAGTTGTTAAAAATAAAGATAGTGAAGAACTATATGTAAAGTCCATCCAGTTGATGCTAAATATATTGGCATTTGCATTAGTCACTATTGCTGGCCATCTTTGGGAAGTATCAGGTGCTAAATTATAAAATTGCAGAACATTTACTTGGTCATTAAAATTAGTTCAGGGCCATTTGTAGACTAGCACAGTTCTTTATTCTGAAGCTATTCATTTAATTCCAAATAGAGGTTTTCATTTTGAAGTCTAGGTTGCATCCATAGTTCTCTTAATGGAACAGCATCTGCCATATATCAACACTGACACTTTCTTTATAGGCTACCTTTAAAGGATGGATGGAAATCATGTATGCTGCTGTTGATTCAACAGGAGTAAGTATAGGATGACAAATGTCCATGTGTTCATAATAAGTAGATTTTGCTTTGCTTTCAGATTATATAAAGGGACATTACTGAATGAATGTTACTGCTTTCGATCAGATTCATTCAGTGATCAGACGCTTTGAACACCTTTCTTGTCCATCAAAGTTTTGGTCTTTAGATATTAGAAGATAATCTGGAGTTTAGAAAGCTTATTCTTTAGGACCAAGCAGAAGAAATTTGACTTTTAATCCTGAGTTATGAATTAGAAGCAGCAACATCTCCTTAATTTTGCCTCCTTGACTTTACTTTTTTTCTTTGCTTCTCTCTTTTGGTAAGAATAATAGGACCTTCAGAGTAATTATTTGCCAGATAACTAGGCCTGTGTAAAAGAATGTTGCTTTTCTCCAATTTTTTTTTCACTCCATGTTGGGAGAAGCTCCACTAATAGCCAAGAATACTGAGACAAGGTAATCTTTCATTACTCCTTGCTAAAGGAGCTTTGAGTAATTTTCATTCATCTCCCTCACTTCTCTTAGCAGTTGTAACAACACTGAGAAAGTATATAGTGCATGTGCTGAACTTTTCCTCACCAACAGAGCAGCTGTTTTGTTTTCTTTAGAACTGCTTGGGATTTAGTTTGACTATCTTCCAATTCACCTGAAATGAATTCTCCAGTATTTCTTCTTCTCTCCAGTATTTACTATTGAAGAGAACATTAAGGAAGCTAATACTAGATTCTTCTATTATTGCACCAGTATACCCCATACTGCTCTATTCTTAGAATATCTAATGATAATATAGAATTATGTTCAGAAGGATCCCAGGTGCACCTCTTTCGGCATTGGTTTGCTGCTTCTAATGTCATCCAAAGTATTTTCTCCACAGACTTTCTGGGAAATTAATGAAGAAAATGGATTTCAAGATATGACCATATATTCTGTATAGAGAGATAGTTTGGTCTAGTTAAGGCACCAGCCTAGAAATCCAGAGACCAGAAATTCTAGTCCCACCTTAGACATGAAAGTTAGCTGACTGACTTTGGGCCAGTGATTCTACCTTAGCCCACAGCTGTGACAAACTGGTCAATCAATTCCAATGGATCAACCAATGGATCAAGACTCAGTTGATCCCCAAAAAGTGGACCCTGCATGTGTGAGAAAATGCTAGGAAAGAAAAAAAAAGATAAATTCTGTAGATTATTTCATTGTTCAGCAAATATTCAGCAAATATTTAGTGTACAAATTCTTCATCATTCCTGAAAGCTCATTGGTAATATTTTTCCATGCCTCCTTATTTTATAGATAGAAAAGCAACCCCAGTATGAGAATAACCTGTATATGTATCTTTACTTTGTCGGCTTCATTATATTTGGTTCCTTCTTCACTTTGAATCTTTTCATCGGCGTCATCATTGATAATTTCAACCAACAGAAAAAGAAGATAAGTATTCATTAATGTCTGTTAACATTTTTATTTGCTGTATTTTTATAATAGATGATTTTAATGTTTTTTTTTTATGTTTCAAGCCGCCTACAGCCATTGGACACAAGATGGGCGGCAAATAAATTTCATAAATAAATAAATAAAATTTAAACAATTAGTTTTCACTTCAATATACTCATTGTTATAATTAAATAGCTAGAATGTCATTTTAGTTGTTTTACTGAATGAGTTTAGTTCTCAATATAATTATGTTTCATTCCAATTAGTAACTGCATATTACATTTTAGTAACTGCTACACATAAAAGTGTGTGAAAATATTGTAGCAGTAGGCTCACTCAACACTGAAAGGCTGCCCACAACTGACGTAATTGTTATAATGGAAAAATAATTTCTCATAGATATTTGTTAATATTATTTTTCTTTCATAGCTAACAATTTAGAATGTTAAATGACAAAAATTCAATATTGTAGTGATCTTTTCAGTAAGTATTTGAAGGAAATAAAACTGTTTTCCATTTTATGTTGTTGCATAAGAAAATGGGGACAAAGACCTTTCAAGACTTTTAGAGCGCTCCTTTTCTCTCTTCTCCCTTGCCCTTTTACATGCAGCCCATTAAACTACTAAGAAAGTTGAGTCTCTGACTACTACCTTTAAAATATTTATTTTAAAAAATTCTTAATTCCATTTTGGAATATAGCCATTTTATCCACAAATAAGACACTTATACAAAATCCTCAGCTGAAAGTAGTTATATAATAGTAGCTTAACAAAATGACCATTTGAAGTTACAACAGCAGTGAAAAAAGAGACATAAAACCATTTGTCACAACCATTGCAGCATCCTCATGGTCACATGATCAAAATTCAGATGCTTGGCAATTGGCTCATATTTATGACAGTTGCAGTGATCATGTGATCAACTTTGGCAACCTTCTGACAAGATAGGTCACTGGGAAAGCCAGTTTCACTTAATAACCATATTACTAACTGAGCCACCACAAGAATTTGCTTAACAACCGTGGCAAGAAACATTGTAAAATGGGGCAAAACCCACTTAACAAATGCCTCATTTAAGCACCAAAATGTTGGGCTCAATTGTGGTTGTGAGTCAAGGATTACCTGTACATTGAATTATTTGTGCCATTACAATTCTATTACATCAACTTGGAAACATTTTTTTGGAACTCAGTGCTATCCCTTATTATTTATTCTATCTATCCAGAATAATATAGTATTAAAATACATTTTGCCCCTTCTGTGTTCTATCTTATATCCAGAACATTTTATGAAAACATAATAACCATTAGTTGCAATATAAACTCTTGAAAAATTCCACTGTTCCACATTCCTTCATTTTGAGAATCTTTCATAGTTTTAACTGGTTAGTAGAATTTTATGAGAAGAACTCTTCTTAACCTGTGACCACTTAGTTTGTTGAGGAAACAACCGATTTCTTTTTTTAAAAAAAACCCTTTTTAAACTACCATATGCAGCTTTGTCCTTGTGGGTAAATGGTTGTAACCATTTTGTTTTACTTCTTTACTTAGGAGGTCAGGATATTTTTATGACAGAAGAACAGAAAAAATATTATAATGCCATGAAAAAATTGGGATCCAAAAAACCACAGAAACCTATACCCAGGCCATCAGTAAGAATGCTTGTTGTTTGTTTAACTGGCTAAAACAAATAGATAGAAGTAAAATACTTTGTTTAACTGAAATTAAAAATGTATCCTTTTATCAATAACTGAAAAATAACTTCGTAAAATGATTTCCAATCCTTCAGGAAATAACAGATAACATTGTTTTCTTTTTCTTTTTTAGAATAAAATACAAGGCTTCATTTTTGATTTTGTAACCAAACAAGCCTTTGATATCGGTATCATGGTTCTTATCTGCCTTAATATGGTTACCATGATGGTGGAAACAGCTGACCAGGATCAATCTGTAGAAGATATTTTATATTGGATTAATTTGATTTTCATTGTTATTTTTACTGGGGAGTGTCTCCTGAAATTGATTGCTCTCCGTTACTATTATTTCACTATTGGCTGGAATATATTTGATTTTGTGGTTGTCATATTCTCCATTTTAGGTAAGAAACTTTTGAAGTAAAATTGTCTTTTGAATATTCTGGATATTTGATATAAATTACTAAGCAGTGCTGATGACATATCTTACAAAGCCTGTTAGAATTAGTTATTTGTATAAGATAAATTGTTAAAGCATAAAACATCATAGAAAGTACTTTCATTTGATTTCAGCTACAAACCAAAAACCTCTACTCTTAATGCAAGACATAATTAATTGGTGAATTTATTTCTATAGATGATGGGTGCTACCTGAGATAGCTTTTATCTTTTTTTCCCCTTCTTTGAGTAAACAAATATATTTATTCACTTATATTATGAATACATACACTTTAATATTCATATTTCCAAGAAATTGTCACAAATAGAAAAACACTAATTGTAATAAACATGCTAGAATTTTTAAAGATCTTTTTAAGTATAGAAAAGGAGGTTAAAATATTTAGATAGTTAATATGTCAGAAGAGGGCCATTATTAAACCAGTAGATGATAACTATAATTTACTTATTATAATCTTAAAAAATTATATTCAGAATCTTCCAGTTTTAAACATTGAAGCCCCTTTCTTCAGGATCCTATTTAAAGACCAAATGCATTTTTTAAGTTCTCAGAATTCATAGATCTCTGTGAAACACTCTGAATAAAAATGAATTGCGTACATCGTGTGCTATGCGTTAAATTTTTTTCCTTTCTGATATAGCTCTCCCATCTTTACTATTTTAAAAAAGATGCATTTTTGTGCAGAGGACACATTGACTTAGTTTTAGTTTTGACATTCTGGTTTTCTCAATCATATGGCTTAGAAAAGGAGGATAGAGACAATTTCAGATAAAAGAAACCACAAGTCTGTTATTTCATCCTGATTTATAGTTACAATAATGTTCACTCCTGATTTAAAGTTACAATAATATGCAATAAATGTATGAAAATATAACTATACAATTTTAACTCATGGCGATTTTTTTTTTTTTTAGGTATGTGCCTGTCACAAATCATTGAGAAATTCTTTGTATCCCCCACTTTGTTCCGAGTGGTCCGACTTGCCAGGATTGGTCGAGTCCTGCGTCTAATCAAGGGTGCAAAAGGGATCCGCACCCTGCTTTTTGCCTTGATGATGTCTCTCCCTGCCTTGTTTAACATCGGTCTCCTCCTTTTCCTGGTCATGTTCATCTACGCCATATTTGGAATGTCCCAATTCGCCTATGTTAAAAAAGAATCTGGGATTGACGATATGTTCAATTTTGAAACTTTTGCTAACAGTATGATCTGCCTGTTCCAAATTACCACTTCCGGTGGTTGGAATTATCTGCTGTTTCCCATTCTCAACAAGGAGCCAGACTGTGACCCTAAAAAAGTTCATCCAGGAAGCTCAGTTGAAGGAGACTGTGGCAATCCTTCAGTTGGGATTTTCTTCTTTGTCAGCTACATTATCATCTCATTTTTAGTTGTAGTCAACATGTACATCGCTGTCATCTTGGAAAACTTCAGCGTAGCTACCGAAGAAAGCGCTGAACCATTAGGGGAAGATGACTTTGAGATGTTCTATGAGGTCTGGGAAAAATTTGACCCAGGCGCAACACAGTTTATAGAGTACAGCAAACTCTTTGATTTTGCTGCCTCGCTAGAGCCCCCTCTGCTAATACCAAAACCAAACAAAGTTCAACTAATTGCAATGGACCTGCCCATTGTGAGTGGTGACCGAATTCACTGCCTTGATATCTTATTTGCCTTTACAAAGCGTGTTTTGGGTGAAAGCGATGAAATGGACGCCCTTCGTGTGCAAATGGAAGACCGGTTTATGGCTGCTAATCCCTCAAAAGTCTCCTATGAACCAATTACCACCACCCTGAAGCGGAAACTTGAGGAGCAGTCAGCTAAGGTTATTCAGAGAGCCTTTCGGCAATATCGCCTGAGGAAACCAGTGTGCAATACATCATACTTATACAGGGATGGGGACGTTTTTCCTTCCAAAACAGAAACGACTTTTGATAAATTAAGTTTGAGCTTAACTCTGGAAAAGACAGAAAGAAGTTCCTCCACAACTTCACCTCCTTCCTATGATAGTGTAACAAAACCAGACAAATACGAACAAGAAAAGTCAGAAAAAGAAGAAAAAGGTAAAGATGACAAGGATTATAGAAAGTAACCCTGAAGCAGGCCTGTAATTCTATCTACACCAAATGGTTTACAGCATCAGAAAGATAATGCTGATACTAACAGGAATTATGCTGAAGCTTATGCCAAACTGACCATTTCTACTATATCAACATAATATAGTCATGCATCCAAGGTACTTGTAATTTTATCGTTGACTTATGAGGACAAGAACAATTCTTACCAGCTTGCACAGATGAAGAGGATTCACAAAATTACTATAGGCTGCAAGAATGCATTAGCATTTGTGTGTGTGTGGTGTGTGTGTGTGTTAACAACCAAAAAATATTCCCTTGCTGCAGTAATTGTATCCAGTGTGTACATCTCAATTGCCATTTACGTCATATTTGACAAAATTGTTAGTGCAGTTGTATTTCTCTTCACAAATCATTGTTTGTGATTATGTCCAGCAACAGAATTGATTTTTCACAGATACATTTATATATATGAACATATATGTATTTAACTTTGTTACTTATAATATTGATAGGATCATTGGGGAACTTAACCATTGTAGGCTTAAAACTCTTGTCAGACATTTGTAGGCTTGTCCAACATTTATCTGCAACATTCTTCAGACCTGCAAGTTTCACCCTGAAAAAAAAACCCGTTGTCCAGCTAAGTTTACTAAAAGGTAAGCCTACCAGAAAAGAAATGAGGGAATCAAAATAAGAAACTTGACTTCCTCCCCCATCACTGTGGAAGGTCAGCCAGCAACTTGACCTACCAATCTTCTTTATTGGCTGTTGCTGATTCCAGATTTTATTTGCAGTTTATCACCGATCAGGCCATTGGCTGTTTGAATTTGGCTGAAATCTGCTCCCCTTTTTAAAGAGGCAGATAGGTGCTTTAAGAATATAGGCTGGTGTCTGGCATAACTCAAGTACTAAATTGAGTTTTGTGGGATTTTTCTTCCCAAAACAATCTGAATTAGCTGCTACACGGACACCATCAATTCTGACAACTTCTTTTTTTAATTTTCTCACGTTTGGGCAATTCTTCTAGATCTTCAACTTCCACATGTTTTAGTTTTCTGTTTGTATGTACACATACAAATATTCCTATTGTAGAAGAGGAATATGTTCTGAAGTGATACTTTCTTAAGGGGAAAAGTCTTCAATCCTGTGAGATATGGTACATAAGAATGCAAAAACCGAAAGGGTTTTACATTCTCATGTGTATTCTCCTGTAACTACCTCCACAGGGAAAAAGATAACTATTAAAAATAATCAAAAATAAATATTCTAACATATTTACATATTCTAAAATACAATACTATAGCATACAGTGTATACACTGCATTTGATGGTAAGACTAGCTCTTATCATTTGTTCATGGATTTACTGATTTGATGAATTCATTCATTCATTCAACATCTAAAATAATACGACAACAACAATAGGGTCCGGCATCTTAAAATGGTGTTTTATGAGCTATCCCAAGACTCTAGCACATCAGTTATCCCTTGAATTTGTTTGGCCAGTTAGTCTACTGGTATTTTCACACATGTAGAGATAACAGATTTGCATGAAGGCATGCTCTACTTCCTAGCTCATGCATGATGGAAAAGTAAGCAACTAACAAGGAGTCATAACTTGTCCAAATTTCAGGGTTGCATAAGTTTGTAGTTTTTTACCTATTCATGCTATATAATACAAGATAAAAGTTTCCATACAGCTTATAATATGTAGGTAAACTGAATCAAATAACATGGCAACTTTTCTTCTCCTTTTATTGTAAATGCTCATATCTGATTCAGTATATTTCACAATTCGTTTGCTAAACAGGGTTGTTTGTTTATGTGGATCATAATTGTTTTTACTGTTGTTGTTTTTTCATTTATGTTTAAGCCATCCAGAGTCTTCTGGAATGGGCAGCTATAACAATCTAATAAATTAAATGAAATAAGCCAAAAAAATTATACGTTCGGCTTATTTAAATATGCCATTTCTTTTTTCTTTCAAACTAGCTCTAGATTTATTGGATATGATCTTTCAGCCTGGCTCTCAAGATTATTGAATAATCATCACTGTTTGAAAGAGAATTGTTGAACACATCTAGAGCTGCAAAGATTCTAGATTAGCTTCTTCAATATTTTATAGATTGAGAATGGCCACTCAATAAATAGTATGCTTATGTTGTGTCTAAAACAAGTGCAGATGTCAGGTGCTGCCTTAGGAAAGTTATCCCACATAACTTTTTCACAAGGAGAAAGGAAGACTTTCTTCCCATGAAGCTTTGGAAAAAGGAGCAAAGACTTTTAGAAATTACTGTTTAACCTCTGTGCAGTTCTGGTACATTATACAGTTGTTGAATGATCATTACTGTAGTTGAGTGAAGATTTTCTTAAAAAAATAAAGATCAGCTGATACATATTCTTTTTACTTTTAGATAAGAGCTTTCTCACCTTACGTACCTTATAGGGAAAACAGAGAAATCCTAAATTGATTGAACATGCCATGCTTGGAAATGGGGCTGATGTGTACAATTTAGTAAAGTTCCACAATTTATGCTGATCAGAGTTATTTGGATTTTAGTGGCAGGATCTAAATCTGTTGGTGCAGAATACCTTTATTGCCTCTGATTCATCTTTTTTTTGTAACGGTCAGATGGGAAATCGTGTCTGAAGCTGAAAGAAGAGATATTATTCTAATGATATTTGATGCTGCATATAACCACTGTATAATTTTTATTAATAGATTATTCCATGACATGAAACATTACTGTACTAACAAGATGTACTATGAACATGGTAATTGGTTTAAAATATAAATGTATAAAACTTTTTATAAAAGCATATTTTATATTATTTTTAAATCACTTCGATTTATCAGCTTGCAGTTGATATGCTTGCTTTATTTATTTGAACCGGTATTTTATAATACATTTTAACATACCAGTGGGGGTGGGGAACAATCAGATTGTTATTGCGACGTTTTGTTTCTGCACCTCCTAGCAATTTCAATTAGAAAAGCTGAACAAATCTGAATGTGAAGCAATTGCAGGTGTATAGAGACAGTGTGTGATATGCCTGTGAAAGCAGTGAGCTTTGGATCACTGATATGAATGAATGTTTGGTTCTCATTGTACTTGCACAAACACTTGGGTCTGAATTTCACTACTGCTACATCGGTTGCAGTATTCATTTTGATCTGTGCTGCGTTAGATACATCATAACTGTAATTTGGTCCCTGGAGGCTGATTCAAATGTCCTGTTTCTTTAAGAACAAAATAGCAAAATGAAAACCAATGTATCTGGGCATCTTTGTTTTGTCTGTTTCTTACAGAGGGAAGAAGTAAACCTATTCTTTTACTTTGGCTATTGACTAGTAATATATATTGATGAATTGCATGTAGAAGAATATTTTAACATAAATAGCTATAAACCATATTACTAACAAGACAAAAGAATAAAGCTGATCATTTTTATCATGGATTGATTAATTTTGTCCTCCTTTTTAACTTTAAATTTTCATGAAAGTAAAATAATGTTTCAGGATGGGGGAGAGGGTGTTAAATAGTGAAACAAACCAAAATAAGATCCAATTGTTTATCCAATTGTTTATCCTATTGATGTAGATAGGCCCAGCTACATCAATAGATACCAAAGATTCACACTTCTTAAGCCATCAGCAGGACATAGTTAATAGAGAATGTGTAGCTCGGAGATGATCTATGGGGTCAACAGTACCAGTTTGAAGATAAATAGTATAAGAGCAATGCTGAACTATTGCTCTTATATGAATTCAACTGTGTTTCATGGTTTACTAGGCAATTGTGATAATTTTCATCCTGCTAGTATAAACCTTTTCACTTGTAGTTGTATTAGCATGGAAGAAATAATTACAACTTCTCAAAATATTACCTAGAAACCATCTTAATCCAGAGATTAAGCCAAATTTTAAAGTCAAGGTAACATCAAGTCAAGATAATGTAACTCCAGATCTATTATTCTTTCACTAAGGAGGACCAACCGGCCCCCTCGGTGCTTCATTTCTCATAAGCAATAAATACATCCTTATTTTCTTCCCTTGGAAAGTTTAATTTAGCACTTTCCTAATCTTTTGGTGTTTATTTTTCATACCTTTATATGCTGTATTTGCAATCTTGTAACACCAAGGTGGTCTTTATAAATTATCTAGTATTCCCAGGAAAAATCATCTCTCATCTTTCTCCATTAGTACAGAAGTATGTTTTTTCTGAATTCAGCTATTGTCCTACAGTATTTGTCCTGATATTATTGAATATTTTAACACTGATTTATTATATGAGGTTTTTATCTAGATCTTTTAGAGAGTTACAATCTCATGTATCATCTCTGGAATCTCTGTGCACAATTAATGTTCTTAATTATTGATTTCAAACCCTTCACATTAATTTGCCAGCAAATAATTCATTTAATTTATTTAATTTGCCTGCTTTTCCCTGGATTTGCTAGATAAATCATATTGCGCTATTCCCAATTATGGTCCCATCCTCACTAGCTAATTATGTCTGCTCCACTCATTCTGTGGCAGTCTGCTAATTCATTATCCATGCTCTTGGCTAAGGAAATAAACTTCAATCTATGAGACAGAAGCAAAATAAACTTATATGCAGTGTTTTGGGATAAAATTATGAAGCTTGGCATATTTGGGCACTAAACAATTATAATGGCTCTCAATAACTAAAATGTATTTCAGAAGACAGGAAGTGACAAATGTATCCTACTTTTTAATCCAGTCAAGGAGAATATTCTGGTGAATGTCACAAATAATGGTGAATGTGATTTTCAGCAAGGTCTTTATTCCAAGATGTAAAATAGAATGCAGCCTTACAGCAATCACACAAGTTAACTGTGACTCATGAAAGGTAATTGATTTGATAGCTATACTGCCAGCTCATCAAGCTGAAGATCACTTAAAGAATTTTTATTTAAGGACAACATTTGGAATCCTTTCTCCTTCCTTATATCGCTTGCTTTTTTCTTAATACTCCCCCCTCATCGAGAACATCATTTCATTTTTTAATTGTATTTTTTCCTTTTCATCTTGAAATATGGCACTGTTTCATGTAGATCAACATGTATTCCTACCCTTCCAAGGCACATCTAAAGGATATGGTCTTTTTTGTCAGCAATCCTCCAAATGGACAGCTGTAGCCATAAAGTTTGTGAGGTGATCAACAGCTATAGCCCTCTTCCAACCTACTTTGTTCCCACATCATAGCCTTTCTTTCAAGTATTCCCTGACTGTAGTTGTGCTTGGCAACCGCATGGGCTCAATCTTTCACTGTAGATTAGATGTCCATTTCCAGATATTTGAAAGGGCCAACTTATTTCAGTCATGTTATGGTACCTGAATGCTTTTCCAGGTAAGCAACTTTTTACTACTCAGTCACAATGTTCACAAGAAATAGTTACTTATCTGTAGCTGCTGTTCTTTGAGTTGTCATCTGTGAATTCACACAATCTGCCCTCCTATCTTGCTTGAAGTCATTTGTTCCTTCAGATCCTTTCTGTCAGGAACTGGAGTTTCTCAATCATCCAATTACAGGGTATATGGAAGAGATGGTGTTTCTGTCAAGTAATTCTTGACTCCTGAGGAAAGTATCATTTCTTTTATGTACCCTGAGAGCATTTGCACCAAGATAAATTCCTTGTATGTCCAATCACACTTGGCCAATAAAGAATTCTATTCTA